CACCTGAAGTACCACCACTACAGTTCTTGATCTGCTGGCTGTCAGATCTGAGAGCTACCCAGACCTGCCCCGGGTGGAACCCATAGAATGCCATGTCATTGCAGTTCACTGATTCAGAAATGAGCTCACACCCAGCTCAGAGCATGCTCAGTCCTTTCCCTTGCCCTTTTCCTTTTTATGCAAAATGCTGCCCAATTCAGCTCCAGGGGGCTGACTGGGCTATGAAATCCACTCTGTTCTCGCACTGTCTGTCTGAGATTTGCTGCTCTGTCTCTCCTCTGGTCAAATCAAATGGACCAACAGGCTGGACAGTTCTTTGTCTGGATTCACCTCCCAAGCTTCCAGTGAAATCCCTTCCCACCTGGTTACTGGTGGAGTTCTGGCTGCTGGTGGAGTTCAGATCGCCATTAGATGAATGTTGCTGGAGTATTAGTCACTACAACACCACACTGCTGTGCCTGCTGCTTTCCTGTGTCTGTCAGTCTCCAAGTACCTCTCTGCTGTTGTTCTGTCCTTTCCTATTTCCTGAAATATGTCCTCTCTGCGTCATCCTGATTAAATGTTTTTCCGTCCCTTTAAACGTGTCTTTACCCTATTCCGCCATCTTGATTCTCTCTCTTTACATAATTTTAATATCAACTCTATACATACCCAATAAAGAGAGTCTGATTAAGCAAATTGGGAGACAATGGTACAGTGAAATACTAAGGTCAGTATGTATGAATCAGAAGTGTATTTGATCATTCAAAATATAATAGATCAAATAAAAGAATCAAGTCTTGAACAATATGTGCTGTGCATACATGTTTAGAAAATTAATGGAATTATAAAAGTTCTTGGCTTGAAAGATGGTTTCTCTTGAAACAAAATAAAGAACTGTAGTGCACAGTCTACACAATTTAACATATACACCAAATATATTACCACTCCAAGAATCGCTCCCCGAGGTATTCACAATTGGTGTTCCTTCTTTATCTTACCCATGTCCGATATTCTCAAGGTGGTTTTTTTCCATGGAATATTTTGGGATCTAGTTAGAATGTCACAAGGACTTATCATTTTCATTTGGCTCATCACTTGTGGTTATCTAAGGTTGGAAGTTATGATAAACTTGTCTTTCCCTAAGTACTCTTATAATCTCATTCTGAAAAAGTCTTAGTATTTCCTCCCAGCAAACCTATTACCAGAATTGTTAAGTGAAGAGAAAAACTTAACTCATATAAAGTCTTTTCTTTGTTTTAATCTATATTGGTATATTTATGAATTTCAGCCCAAAACTTGTATGGAACATGCACCAGGAACAGAGTATTTTGAGTAGAAAAAAAAATTTTTTTTTATAAAGGAGAGATCCAGGGGCCCAATGCGATGGCTCAGTTGGCTAATCTACCCCCTCGCAAGTGCTAGGATCTCATATGGGTATTAATTTGTATCCCGGCTGCTCCACTTCCCATTCAGCTCCCTGCTTATGGCCTCTAGCTCAGTGGAGGCTGGTTCAAACCCTTGGATACTGCACTCACTTGGGAGGCCTCCTGCCTTGGATTGACTGATCTTTGGCCATTACATATATTTGGGTAGTGAACCAGCAGATGGAAGATCTTTTTCTCTGTCCCTCTTTCTCTCTGTAAATCTGTCTTTCAATAAAGATCAAATAAATCTCTAACAAATTAATAATTTTAAAAAGCCACAAAAATCCAGGATCTTTCTAAAAGGCTTATAATCAAAACATAGCAGCAAAAAAAAAAATGCATTTTTGGAAGTTAGTCAAAGCAAATATAAATTAGAACTAGTTGTGTGCAAATTCAAAGAAATGACTAATGAGGGAAGTGATTCACTTTGTTCTCAGGCAGATTGATATAATCTAGGAGTAGAATCATTGGACACCTGAGAACAGTAAGGAAGAATTCCTTCTAGCTGAATCAGGGTATTTTGAGAGATGAAGTGCTCAGATGGATTAAAGCGAATTGGTTGGCATGATCTATTTATGCTTTGCAAAGCGTGTTAATGGTTTTCTCTACTTTAAAGAGGAGTTAACAATATTAGGTACTGTGGATTTAATCATGTAGAGTGGAAAGAATTACAACTGAAAACAAGGAGAGGATGTTGAGTTTCTCAAGTTTAACCAGTGCTTGGTATGCCAACATCACATAGTGGATTACTGCTTTGAGTCTTGACTCTTCTATTTCATTTAAAATGGTGTTTACATAGTTGATCAGGGTGGGAAGAGTCGAGGATCAGATCTTTTTCATCTTCCTGCATCTGGGTGGGAGAAATACAAGAGGAAAAACCATGCCCTCCCCTGAGTTGCTCAGTACCTGGGGTTGGGGAGCCAATACCTAGCCCAGCTTGTTCTGCACCCACTCTGGCTCTCACAAGCACCAGTGGGTGCTGGATGGTTCCTCTACTTCCTAGACAGCTTCTCACTGATATACCAGGGAAGGCAGTGAAAGGTAACCCAAATACTAAGTCCTTGCCACCTACATGGGACACCTGGATGGAGTCTCTGGCTCTTGGCCCAGGCGTGGCTGTTAGAGCTATGTGGGGAGTGAACCTACAAATAAAAGATCTTTCCATGTCCTTCCTTCCATTGCTCTGCCTTTCAAGCAAACAAATCTTAAAGACAAAACAAAGGCAAATAGTAAAGAAAGAGGGTGCAGGACACAGGAGCTACCCAAATTCTCAGTAATAACTTTAAAGGTGACATTGAACTTGACTGCCACTATAAGGGATTTTCATTGGTTTTAGTAGCCAGCTTAAGGGACAGTGATGATTCAACTATTCTTTGAAATATGTTACAGCTTTTAAATCCTGATATACCTATATGAACCAGGAAAAAGGAAGCATTTAGCAACAGAATTACAAAATGGGTTCTGGATCTGCGTGATAGGTTAGAATCCTGTATCTACCACTCTCTGTTTGAATTTAAATGAGTGACTTAACAACTTTAAGCTTCATTTTATCATCTATAATTTGATAAGAATAATGTTGTTTGTTAAGAGGATGTTCAGAAAGATTTAACAAGACAGATTGTATGGCGCACATAGCTCAGGGCCTGATACATAGGAAGCATTAAAGAAGTGTTGGCTATCATGAGCATCATTATTGGTGTTGTCACAGGGAATGTGTTTGCTCAGCAGACACTGACTGAGCATAAGCTCCATGTGAGATGCTGTGCCAAGCACCTGATGCAGAAAATCAGTTTGACATAGGCAATGCCTTCCAGGAGCTCAGTCTACATTGTAACTGGCAGAGGAAGCAAATGTACGTGGTCAGCTGTAAAACAGGAAGATCCATAATTTGTTTGGGAAGTAGTTTAAAGGTTGAAATCGTAGAAAATAATGTTGTATTTTCGACGTCTCACCATTAGAAGGAAAAATAATGGTCCTGATCTACAGTGAACAGATTCTTATTTTGATTTTTCATATTTATGGAGTAACATATAGAATGAGCAGCTTGTATAAATGATCATATATGTGATTATGTATGTAAGAATACTTACATGAAACTACCTGGTTTCCTCTTGCACTTCCCCAATTAATCCCTCCCCCAGAAGTAATTACTTCTCTGATTTCTGTCACTACTAAGAGATATTTTATCTGCTTTGAGCTTTGTATAAACAGAATAATACAGTCAATATGTGGGTTCTTGTCTGGCCAGAAAAGGGTAATGAGAAGAATAGCACCAAGATAATTTCTAAATCATGAGTAGTAAAGCTTTACTAGTGAATGTAAGTTTGCCTGTTCAGTTAGTTCTGTGTATCTTTGGATTATATATCCATGGCTGTGATTAAGCACAGATTGAAAATATTTGAAAAATAAGTTTGTGTTGAATGTGTGCAGGTGTTTCTAGTCATATTTCTTAAGTATCATGACAACTATTTATGTATAATTTACATTGCATTTTAGGTGTAGTAAATAGTCTAGAGGGGATGAAAATGCACGGGAGGTGTGCAGTGTTTATACACAAAGACTACAGTATTTAGGGGCCAGCATTGTGGTGTAGCAGATAAAAGCTGCCACCTGTAATGCTGGCTTCATAATGGGCACTGGTTAGTGTCCTGGCTGCTGTACTTTCAGTCCAGCTCCTTGTTAATGGCCTGGGAAAAGTTGTCAAAGATGACCCAAGTCCTTGGGTCCCTGACACCCATATGGGAGACCTGGAGGAGGCTCCTGGTCCCTGGCTTCTGATTTTGGCCTTGGCCCAACCCTGACTCTTGCAGCCATCCATGGGATGAACCAGCAAATAAAAGATCTCTCCCTGTGTTTTTCTCTCCTCAATGCTAACTTTCAAATAAGTAAATAAATCTTTAAAATAAAAACACAAATATTATAGCATTTACACGAGAGTACTTTAGAAAGTTTATGCATAAAATTGAAAGATGAGTTTATCTTAAAGTTGCATGCATAAGTTTTTAAATATGTATTTTGTACTTTTTGAAGGCTCCTGTTTTAAGGACTTGGGCGTCCATGAATTTTTAAACTTCTAGTGTGTCCTGGAACCAATGCCCCCACAGATATTGAGGGATGAATTTATCTCCAAATCAGATGATCCTACCAAAGCTTTGCAAACGTTCTGATGAGCATGAGAAGGAACCTAAGGCAGCATAATAAAGGCCATGGGTCATAGTACTTGTCATTAGTTAGAAAACATAGATCCCCTACAAGCAGTGGTCTCAAAGATGTTACCTTACAGTAAACCCAGACAGTTAGAGAAGGGAGAACAGAGTTAGGAAGGGAGGTTGTGAGGACATCTTCACCTCCTACAGCAGTCTGAAAAATCTTTCCACCAAGGAGTCAGAGGTCTCCTGGGATTGGGTGCCTTATGAAAGGCTCTCAGTGCGTACTGACTCCATCTGTTGGGATTTCCCTTTTTTTTCCAGCTCTGAGGAAGCAGGTTGTGGGGAGGAGTGGCCTAGATTAGACCTAGGTATCCTCCTAGGCCTATAGCCTAGAGGAATAGTGAATTACAACTTTTACAGCAGTCACGTTTTTCTGTTTGTTCAGGTTGTTGCTTTGGGACTGTGATGATCGAAGCTATAGCTACTACGTTGAGGTTTCGACCAACCAGCAACAGTGGACTATGGTGGCTGACAAAACTAAAGTGGCCTGCAAGTAAGTGGTGTCCTTTAGGAACGTGTCCCAGTTGAAAAGGCAGCCTTTGCAGTGGGTTTCATGGGTCCAGTGAAGATTCACAGAATGACCAAATTATGTTCTCATTTAGAGACTGAAAATAATCTAACCATTCTTTAGTTTTGATTGTTAAGTAGTTATATGAGATATATTTAATGTGACCTAACAAGCTTTCTCTATTTTGTGATTTTAATTTGATTTGGACTTCTGAAACTGTGCCTAAACTAGAAAAAGATGCTTTTTTTAATGCCATCTTCTCTCAGACTCTCTCTTCACACCCCACACTACCCCTTTAGAGTGTTTTTTTTTTTTTTTGCAGGGGGAGGGAGAGTTTGGTCGAAGCAGTACACACTTGAGTAGTTATTCTGGGACTCTGTGGAATTCTATTTTATTCTTCACCCTCATATCATTGTTAAGGTCAGCTATGTCTTTCTCTCATCTCAGTGTCAACCATTACCTAAAGTAAGGAAAGCCCAGTAGCTTAGGCTGTTAACAAACAGACTGAGGAATTTAATGCACACAGCGTTGGGGTTATGTTTGCGCTTACCAACCTGCAGGAGAAGCCTGAAGGAAGGATTGTATGGGTTCTCACAAATCTAGAGCATGGTACATAAAAAAAACCTCTGAGCCCTTAGACAGTCTGGGAGCCAAGAGAGAGCAAATGACTCACATTTCTTCTTCCTTTAAAAAAATTGAAATATAATCAACATGCCATAAAATTCACCCCTTTAAAGTATAAAATTCAGTGGTGGTTAGTATAATCACAAAACTGTAAAACCATCACTACTATCTTATGTTCCAGAACATTTTTAAAACCTCAGAAAGAAACCTCTTCCCATTGGTAGTCACTGTATCCTCAGAGTCTAATAATTTGTGTTCTGTCTGTGCTTTGAATATCTGGGCATTTCACGGAAGTGAAGTCTTATGGCATGTAACCTTCTATCCCTGGCTTCTTTCATTTGGCATAATGTTTTCAAGGTTCACCCATGTTGTAGCATCTGTCAAAAGTTCTGTACTCGATGTTCTTTATCCATTTACAAGTTGGTAAACATTTGAATTGCTTCTACCTTTTGTCTATTACAAATAGTGCAGCTAGGAACATTGCTATACAAGTTTATGGGTGAACACAAATTTTCAGTTCTCTTAATTCTCTGCTTGGGAATAGAATTGCCAGGTCATATGGTAAAATTGTTTAACTTCTGGAGGAATTGATGACTTTTATATAGCCTCTGCTTCTACTCCGTTTTGCATATCCGCCAGCAGTATATGAAAATTCCAGTTTCTCCACATTCTCATGAGCATTTGTTATTGTCCATCTTTTTGAGTTTTAATTTAATTTTCATTTTCTTTGAAAGGCAGAAGGACAGAGACGCTGTTAGAAAGAAGCTTTGTATCCCTCAATGACCACAACTTCCAGAGCTTGGCCAGGCAAAAGCCGGGAGGTTCAATCTGGGTCTTCCCCATGACTGCTAGGAGCCCACATGCATGAGCTGTCATCTGCTGCTTCCAAGGGTACACATTAGCACAGAAATAGATTGCAAGTGGAGGAACTGAAACTTGAACCAGGCACTCTAAAATGGGATTTACACGTGCCGAGCAGCAGCTTAACTGCTAAACCACAGTGCAGCCCCCTGTCCACCTTTTTGCTCACATCCATCCTGGTGGGAGTGTAATGGTGTGTCGTTGTTGTGGTGTTTGCATTTTCCTGATGGTCAATGTCTTTACATGTGCTTATTTAGCCAAGATTTCATGGCATTAATAATGGCTTGTGTGATATAATGCTTAACATGGTCATCATTTTTATTGTAGTCATTTTCATAGCATTTTACATTATTTACAGTAATACTTAGTACAGGTAAGTATCACTATTCAGTAGCTTACCACAAATTATTGTGTATGTTCCTGATTGAGAAATGGCACTCCTCCAGAGGTGAATGAGGAAACTAGCCATCTCTCTTCTTGGGGTTCTTTCTATTATGTGGGGCCATGGTGGCATCTTCTGCATCTAACTGACCAATAGGGAAGGAATAGAAACAGGGTTGCTCTGGTTCTGAGAAACCTTGACCTGAGTGTCAGGTACATCCCTTCACTCACATGCCACTAGAAGAACTAATGGTACTGCCACCTTCCATGTTGATGTTGCTGAAAAATATCATCTGTTCTTGGCTGGACAGGTGGCACACAGATCTTGTGACTATCTTTGTCGCAGCATAAGAAAAGTAACAATTGTTTCCTAACTAGGAGTCTAGTACTTTTATGTGTGTTAACTCATTTTATCCTGAGTACAAAATACCTTGTGGGATATTATCCTTGTTTTTGTAAGAGAGAAAATGAGGCCTAAGGAAATTAAGTAACTTTTCTGAGAAATAGAGCGAAGACTGAAGCCTGAGACTCTGGGGTGGACATCGAGTAGAGTGGTTCAGATACCACCTGTGATGCCTGAATCCCTTAGCACAGTGTCTGGCTTCATGTCCTGACTCTGCTTGCTATTCCAGCTTCCTGCTGATTGTGCACCCGGCACAGCAGTAGTGGTGATTCAAGTACTTGGATCACTGCTCCTCGTGCGGGAGACTCAAATTGAGTTCCAGGCTCTCGGCCTCAATCTGGGCCAGCCCCAGCTGTAGGAGGGATTTGGGGAGTGAACCAGTGCTGGCAGCATAGCACAACTAAAGAGGTCCAAACCAAGCTGCATCTTGAAAAGAGTTCATAAAGTGGGTAACTTACTTCCCAAGTCCTAAATTCTTTTTATAAGAGAAGGACTCCAATGCCTTTGAATAACCACTCATTTGTCTTTCCAAAGTCTTTGCCTCTTTCGTGTACAACTACCTGGCCAGATGCTGTACTTTTTCAAGGCTCTTCCTCTTTTATGTGTCTTACTGGTCACTACCATTCGCTCCCTTCTGTCATCTCACGTGTGGTAGACTGTAATCCCTGCCTTTTTTCATGTGCTTCCGTTGAAGACGCCATACCATGTGGGTCTTCAACAAGGGCTGCTTAATGCATATTGCCTAGGTACATGTCATGATGCTTTTGTATTTAGTTACTGGATAAATTTTTTATTCAAAAGCTCATTCAATATTCTCTTAGAATGACTTAGCTTAAAGTCAACATTTCACCCCCTTTTCGGCTTTTTTTTTTGTTCTTGTTAGTTGGATTTAAATAATTTATGTTCTAAATTTTGTGTTTTAGCACCTAGATGCTACAGTCGTGTTTTACAAATTAACAAGTAAGTAGTATCTTGGAATAACAAGAGTAGTATTAAGAGGGCAAGTGCCTGTTAACCCTCTAAGAAACAGTGGAATCAAAGGTTGTGATTTTGTGTCTCCAGACACAAACTGAATCAATTGTACCTCCCACTTTCAAGTTTGGCTTTAAGAAACATAGAAGATATGCAAATGATAAAAGAAGAAAGATTTTTCCTTTTTAACTAATAGACGCCAGAGAAACCCTCAAGAGGGGATTCTATTAGCTTCGAAAATTGCATCCTGTTCTTTGTTGAAATTAATGTGAGTCATGCTATAAATGAAACTATATGGAATCTTTAAGGATCACAGCTCTGCCTGTTTTTTTTTCTTTTCTTTTTAAAGTTATTTGTGTATTTGAAAGGCAGAATAACAGAAAAGGAGAGGAAAGGGATGGAGCAAGGAAAAGACAGCACAGCCGAGCTATTACTGCTGATTCGCTTCCCAAATGTCCACCACAAAGCTAAAGCCAAAAGTCAGAAACTCACTTGGATTTCATGTGGTGGCAGGGACCTGAATACTTGGACCCTCCTGTCACCTTCCCAAGCACTTTAGCAGGAAGCTGGTTTGGAAGACCAAAGACTCAAACTGGCACTTGAATCTGGAATGTGGGAATTGCAAGCAGCTTCACTTGCTTCTGCACAGTGCCGGCCTATGACTGTGTCTCTTGATGGCACTCTACCTAGTCCAGAGGTGAGAGCAGTTTTCCTCTCCTCCGTGGAAGTCCTAGAAATGAAGGTCTCTGGTGGCTTTGTTGGGCCATCTGTCCTTAGGTGACATATTTGCCTTTACCTCCCTTCAGTCCCTTTTGGGGTGTCCCTGGTGCTGCTGTCAAGATAAAGGGACTTTTTTTTCTTTACTGTAGATAATTCTGCATTGTGTTGATTAATTTTTAAATTACTTTTTGAGATTTTTTTAACTTTTTTTTTTTTCATTTTTACTGGAAAGGCAGATCGGATTTATAGAGAGAAGGAGAGACAGAGAAAGATCTTCCATTGTTTGGTTCACTCCCTAAATGACTACAATGGCTGCAGCTAAGAAGCTAATTTGAAGCCAGGAGCTCCTTTTGAGTCTCCCATATGGGTGCAGAATTCCAGTGTTTTGGGCCATCCTTCTCTGTTTCCCCAGGCTACAGCAGGAGACTGGATGGGAAGTGGAGCAGCCAAAACATGAACCAGTGCCCATATGGAATGCCAGCACTTGCAGGGGAAGGATTAGTCAATTGAGCTATTGCACCAAGCCCTTGCCTTTCTTTCATCACATAATATACCCAGGGCCCTTTAGCCTTATCTCATAAGACCTCTTTTCCAATCATTCATACCTTTTCTCCGATGTTAAATTGGTGAAGTGTAAATCTGTTTTTAAGCATCAGTTTTAAATTACAAACACACACATGGAAAATTAACTGAAACAATACAGAAGGATATAAGTAAAAAGTAATCTCTACCTTGTTGTCTTCTGTTCCATACTTCAGAAAAAAAAAAAACTACCTTTGATCTTTTTGTTTTATTTCTGTAACTTCTTGACTGTAAGTAGTATTTCCTAACCCTATTTATATATTACCTTTACTAACACATTGGTACAGAGAAATTAAATGTTAAGCTCACTTAACTGAACCTTGTCTTGTTAGTTACACTTTTCTTTTTAGTTCTGTTATTTTGAGGATTTATCTTTTGAAATTAAACAGTGTACATGCTTAGACCTCCATTTGTACTGGCCCATCGGTTATAATGGGATTTC